CACTGGGGGAACTGGGGGGCAACTGGGGGAACTGGGGGACAACTAGGGGCACAGGTGCAGTAGGGGCAACTGGGGGGCCACTGGGGGGGGGAATTGTGGGCAACTGAGGGGCAACTGGGGGCACTGGGGACACCAGGGGAGCAACTGGGGGGGGAACTGGGGGCACTGGGGACACAGGGGGAGCAACTGGGGGGGACACTGGGGGGCAACTGGGGACATGGGAGCATGAGGGGGCATGAGCTTGGGGCACTGGTGGGGGCAGCTGCGGGCAGTGGTGGGGGACCTGGGGGCACTTTTGGGTAATTTGGGGACACTTGTGGGGCAGCTGTGGGCATTTGGGGGCAACTGGGGACACTGTGGGGGCAACTGGGATACACATGGGGAGGGTAGGGACACCTTTGGGGTGTCTGGGGTCAGTTGTGGGGCACCTGGGGACACCTGTGGGGTGACTGGGATCCTTGGGGGGGGCGGGGGGACACTTTTGGGGTGTTTGTGGACACTTTTGGGGCACCAGGGGACACTTTTGGGGCACCAGGGGACACTGTTGGGGTGCTGGGGACATTTTTGGTGTGCTGGGGACACTTTTGAGGTGCTGGGGTCATATTTGGGGACACTTTAGGAGGCACTATTGGGGTGCTGGGGACACTTTTGGGGCACCAGGGGACACTTTTGGGTTGTTTGGGGACACTTTGGGGGTTCTGGGGACATTTTTGGGGTGCTGGGGACACTTTTGGGGTCCTGGGGACACTTTTGGGGCGCTGGGGACACTTTTGGGGTGTCTGGGGACACTTTTGGGGGTCTGGGGACATATTTGGGGTGCTGGGGACACTGGTGGGGCCCCGGGCTGGGGGCACACGGGGTGGGGGTGCCGGGGGGGCCCATCCCGATCCCGATTCCCCCTGTCCCAGAACGGGCTCTGGATCTCCACGGATTTCGGGGAGCACTGGCGGGAGATCCACAAATCCGTGTGCTTGGCCAAGTGGTGAGTCCCTGTGGGATTTTGGGATGGGGGGGGTGGCATTTCGGGAATCACCCCCCGTCCCCTCCCTAAATTACATTCCAGCCCTTTTCTTGGGGCTGAATTCCTGAATTCCCTCTTCCCTCAGGGGCGAGAACGACACCATCTTCTTCACCGCGTTCCTGAACAATTCCTGCAGTGAGTCCCGTGGGATGGGGGGGGTTGGAGCATCCCAAACCCCTCCGGAGCCCCCTGACCCCCCTTCCCGTGCGTTAAGAAGCTGATCTGGGATTCCTGGAGCTGAAGAAAACCCCCGACCTGGGACGATCCTTCCGGACCATCGGCTCCCGGATCTACTCCTTCGGGATGGGCGGCCGCTTCCTCTTCGCCTCCGTCATGACGGAGCAGGTGCCGATCCCGCTTTTCCCGCTGTCCCGGGGTCTCCCTGTGCCATCCCACGGGTTATCCCGGCGCTGCTGCTCCCGCAGGGCACCATGCGGCGCATCCACGTGTCCCTGGACCAGGGGGATTCCTGGAACATGGCCCAGCTGCCCTCGGTGGGACACGAGCAGTTCTACTCCATCCTGGCCGCCAACGACGACCTGGTGTTCATGCACGTGGATGAGCCCGGCGGTGAGCGAGCGGGAATGGGAATGGGAGCGGGATTGGGAGCAGGAACAGGATCCGGGAGTGGGAGTGGGAGCGGGATCGGGATCGGGAGTGGGGTCCAGGAGTGGGAGTGAGATTGAGAGTGGGATCCGGGAGTGAGATCTGGGATCAGGATTGGGATTGGGATCGGGAGTGGGAGCAGGGTCAGGAGCGGGAGTGAGAGCGGGATTGGGAACAGGATCCAGGAGCAGGAGCGGGATCCAGGAGCAGGAGTGGGATCTGGGAGCGGGATTGGGATCAGGATCGGGAGTGGGATTGGGAGCGGGATCTGAGAGTGGGAGCGAGATTGGGATCGGGATCCAGGATCGGGAGCGGGATCTGGGGGTGGGATCTGGAAGTGGGAGCAGGATCTGGGATCGGGAGTGGGAACACCGGGAGACGGGCAGAGATGGCAGGACACCCCTGGGAGATGGGCAGGGATGGTGGGACACCCTTGGGAGAAGGGCTGGGATGGTGGGACACCCCTGGAACACAGGCAGGGATGGTGGGACACCCCTGGGAAGCTCCGGGGGGAGCACAGGGGTGGATTTCCCCATGGAACTCCGCTGACCATCCCCCCGCCCGCTGCATTTTCTGGGGATTTGGTGCTTCCTGCCCCCCCCGCTGCAGACACGGGATTCGGGACCATCTACACGTCGGACGAGCGCGGGATCCTCTACTCCAAGTCCCTGGAGAGGCACCTGTACACCACCACCGGCGGGGAGACCGACTTCACCAACGTCACCTCCCTGCGCGGCACCTTCATCACCAGCGTGCTGGCTGAGGGTGCGCTGGGATCCACCCGGGATCTGCCCCTGGGATCCACCCGGGATCCACCCTGGGATCCTCCTCTGGGTTCCTCCCCTGGGATCCAGGCCCCACCCCAGGATCTGGGATCAGTCCCTGGGATCTGCCCATGGGATCTGGGATCCATCCCTGGGACCCAAGATCCACCCATGGGGGCTGGGATGTGCCCCTGGACCCACCCCTGAGACCCACCCCTGGAATCTGGGATCGACCTCTGGGATCCACCCTGGGATCCAGGACCCAGGATCCACCCCCCCCACCCTGGGATCCACCCTGGGATCTGGGACCCGCTCCTGGGATCCACCCCTGGGATCTGCCCCTGGGGTCTGGAAGCCACCCTGGGATCTGCCTGTAGGATCCATCCCTG